ACTTTCAGTTCCCGGTTGGCTCCAATAAAATTAGTGCCATTGTCAGACCTGACCGTTGAGACGGGGCCTCGTCTACAGATAAACCTCCGAACGACATTTATACAGGAGTCTGTATCTAGTGTATATGCCACCTCCAAATGCACAGCACGACTGGTCATACAGGTGAATAACACTTTAGAACACTTCGGCCTCTTTTTACATCAATGGGGCCAAAATAGTCAACGCCAACATTTGTAAAAGCAGCTTTGTCAGGCAACACTCTCTCTTCAGGCAAGGCAGCCATCTTCTGTTCAGCAAGCCTTCCTCTGTTGCGTCTACAAACAACACAGTCTGATATCATTTTTCTAGCAGCAGAGTTTGCATTAATGATCCAGTACTTCTGCCGTAACCTGGACAGCATGTGATTTCTTCCTGCATGTCCCAGCTGACAATGAATGTGGGCGCAATATTAGTGTGGCTACATGTGTGTCTTTAGACAGAATAACTGGATGTTTAGATTCAGCTGGCAGTGCTGCTTTATTCAGCCGACCTCCCACTCTGAGAACTCCATCATTCATCACTTGGTCCAGTTTGTATAGAGGACTTTCCTTGGAGATGTTTTTTAAGTCACACTTGAGTGAGGTGATTTCAGCTTTGTAATGTTGTCTTTGCACATGCTGAACGATTGACTGCTCTGCTTTTGCAAGATCTTTGGGAGTCAGACTTTGTCCCTTGAGTGTGACTTTAAAACTCTTAATTCTTTTTTCCACTTGATGCTCTTGAATCTGTAGATTGTCTTGATTGAGGCTTGCAGAAGCACAACACTCTTTTCTCTTCTGTACCAACATCATTAGAACTTCCTTGACCTTTAGAAACCAAGCTACAGATGATTTTAACTTAATCCAGGATGAAAAGTAACAGATCAGGTGGTTGGTGGCATTTTCCACATCCTTGACAATAACATTCACTGCCAAGTCCCTTTTGACCTCTGGGTCACCTGCAGAAATCACATCAAGCTCCTCCTTTGACCTAGAGAGGAACTCAGGTCCATTTATCCATCTCCTGCCTTTCAGGAAATCCTCAGTTTTCAATCCTCTCGATGCTTCATCTGCGGGATTCTCTTTTGAAGCCACATATCTCCACTGATCAACATCTACTGCTTCTCTGATGATGGCAGTTCTGTTTGCCACAAAAGTGTGGAATCGCCTGTTTTCCTTACTCCTTCGTTGCTCATCCTCCTTGAATGAGCTGTTTTTGTGAAATTTTCTTTTCAGGCACTGGAGGCGCTGTTCTGCCACACATCGATTGTCTGGTAAGAAAGGGTTTTCCTGTTTGAAAGGTAAGTCAACACAGTAATGACCTCCAATACATTGAGCTGTGCTGCTCACAACATTCATGAACTTAATGTCTTCTCTGGACATTTCAATTTGCTCTTCTGACAATCTCTCATTAAAATCATGGTTGTACTGTTTAACAGTTACAGCAGGGCAGCCACTCTTGCTCCGATTGCTTCCACCTCGAAGAGGACCATTAATGACCCAACCGATCCTGGTTCTTACTGCGTAGGGTCCTTCATCCTGACTGTTTATCAGCTCCCAAGGCTCCAATACTTTAGGGGCATCAGTACCAATGAGAAGATCCACTCCAGCATCAATGTCATGGAGCTCTACATCCTTTAGATAAGACCATTGAACAAGATCCTCTTGTCATGGGACATTCAGTGAAGAAACAGGCATGGTCTTTTGTGTTAAAACATCAGGTAACTGAATGAAATCATTTGCATTTACAGCAAACACTGCAAGATCTGACAGAACATGAGCATTTACAATCTTCCTTTGTCCCATTGTTCTCAACAAAACACTTGCCAGGTTCTCCGTGCAGAATGTTCCTGAACTTCCTGGATCCAAAAAGGTGTATGTTTGCACAGTTCTATTACTCCTCTGGCTCTTAACTTTGACAGCAACAATAGAAACGATTGAATCGTCTTCACCACCAGCCCCAATATGGCCACAGGTCTGAGACATGACAGTAGAAACACTTGAATGGCTCACGGACTGTTGTGATTGTTCGGAGGATGTGCCTTTATCCTGCCGCTCGATATGAAGGACTCCTGGGTGCTTTTGGTGACACACGTCGCAATCCAAACGACTCCTGCAGTCTTTGCTTGTGTGGCCTACTTTCAGGCAACCAAAACAAACTCCCTTTTCTTTCATGAAATTAATCTTATCACGATGTAGTTTACCTTTAAACTGAAAGCATTTTTCCAATGTGTGGTTACCTTTTGTGCAAAACAGACAGTTATAAAGAGACGAGGACTTGGTCTTGTTTCCTACATAATGAGTAATGACTCCTTCCTTTACTGCAGTGACATTCGTAGCAAAACTGCTTTCCCTTTTTCTTTGCTGTGAATATTTAGTGTTGGAGACCTTGGAGTTGGTGGTTTGTGAGTCCTGAATGTTGCCAAAAAGTGGGTCTGAGGCAACTCTAACTTGCTTTTCAATGAAGCCAACAAGATCAATAAACATTGCTCTGCGGCCACTACGCTCTTGAAGATCACATGCAACACTTCTCCATCTTTCCCTGAATTTGTAAGGCAGTTTTAAGATGATGCTCCTCATGTTAAAAGGTAAGTCCAATTCCTTCATTTGCATCATTCGCTCCGTTAGATTTGAGCATCCTCGAAGAAACAGTGAGAATGATTGTAGCGCTTTAGTATTCTCACTTTTAACAGGTGGCCAGTTGTGAATCTTATCCATATAGGCAGCTGCAATTTTGTATTCATTTCCAAAATGCTCTGCTAAAAGACCTTTGGCTCTATGGTATCCAATTTCTGAAGGCAGATGTTGACAGCTGTGCACCAAGTCCCTTGGTTGCCCCCTGGTGTACTGTTCGAGAAAATGCAAGCAGTCGCTCCAATTGGCTGTTTTCTCCTCCACTCCATTCTCAAAAGCTCTTATGAAAGACCTGTATTGAAGAGGGTCTCCATCAAATACCGGGATGTTTCTTGATGGGAGAATAGAACTCAGATTTTGCTGGACCAGCAGAGAAGTAATATCATTTTGTCTCTGCATTATGTTTACAATGTCATTCTGATAGTTGTCAGTCTGCTTACATACAAGTCCTGTTTGATGTTCATTAGCACTTTCAGTCACTTTTACTGGAGCATGAAGCTGTAACATCTCATCCTTTTGTGTTTCTTGTCTTTGTTTGTGCTTAACATCTTGTGGATGAGAGATGGTATCAAGTCCAGCAATAACATTAACATTTTCTTCAATTACTGGTGCAAAGGTGTCAGCATTGGGATTTAATGCACTGACCTTTTGAGAATAGTTCCTTTTAAAGTAAGACTTCATGCCATCTGAATATTTTGAGCCACACTCTGATGAATTTATTTCCAAGACCTGAAGCTTTGCATTTGTTACAGCCAGTTCCGTTTCAAGTTCCAGTTGTTCCTTTTCTCTCCTCAGCTTTTCCTCTTGAGCTTCTATTTCATGTTTCGTTTTTAAAGCAGCAACACGCTCAATTAGAGCTGGGCTTGTTGACCTTGGCTTTAATGCGTGCAGAAGAGGCTGATGAGGTCCGTGATGAATGAGAACGAGTCCTCACAGAATTTGATTTTACACGTGACACATTAGAAGCACTGTCTTCAGGGTTTATATCATCTGCAAAATCCTTTTCGTCGGGAGTGTCTCTTTCTGGCTCCACATAAGGATGACCCTTTTCAGACAGCCAGTTTTTAACCCCTTTTGTGAATTCACCGAACTTTGTCATTTTTTCTTCGAAGTATTTACTTTGTTTTGTCAGTTCATCTTGTGGCAAGGGCAGCTTGATTAAAGCTTCGTGCATGTGAGCTGCATCTTGATGACACTGAATGAACGTGACAAGCTCGGAGTTGACAGAATTGACATTTTCACTTGACTCCATTAACACGCGAATTTTTTCTCCACACTTCTTGGCTTGTTTACATTTTGCACTCCTTTTTTCCTGGCACATTTGTGTGTAGAAGCACAAGCCTTTAGAAGTGATTTTAATGTTTCTTTTCTTTCTTTTTTGACGACATTTCAACATCATTTACAGCAACATCATCCATGTTAGCGGTTTTTTTTTTTTTTAAACTGCTTGTTGCGCAGCAATCAACATCCACAATGAGACACAAAAGCAGGCCAAAAGCTTTCGACCAACCTAACTGGTTTATTGGCCGATCACATCCAGTTTTCAACACAAAGACACACTCTGCAGTCGGGTTAATTGTCAATGGAAGCAGCCGACAGTCTTGCGTAAAAGTGTTGCGTAATAATAACACGCGGCGGTTCTGCGCCGTCCAACTCCTCAAACTTCATAAACTTGGCACTTTAACGTGAAAACACTGACATTCAAACTCCAATCGTTTGGCCATTTTCCAATACAGCAGTCGTGTCACATACCAGTTTCTTGTGAGGAGGCTGAACGTTGTGTCGATCTGGGCCAGAAGCCGGTTTCCTTCTGACGCTGATTCCAAAAGTTTGAAGAAAACAATCTGTGCCGTTCATCCATCCAAAATCCGCTGCCTCTCTTGACCTGATAAAAAAAACAATAGGCCCACCCAGGTGCATGCCGGTCCTCCACCTGCCTCTGATTTAAATAATCTCCGGTGCCCACAGTATTACACCAAATACCTAACAAAATACTAATACAAAACTAAATTTACTAAACAAATAACTAGCAAAAAAGAAAACGTTACCCAAAGTCTTTTTTTAAATAAAGAAAACGTGTAGAATAATTAAACAAACAACACCACCCAAATATTAGTAAACTAAATACAAAAACTAATTTTATGCCCAATTAAATAGCTCCAACAATAATCATAATTTCAGACATTGCGTAAACCTTAAATAGTTTCTTTATTTTAGAGTTCACACAGATTATTATTTTTCCTCTGAGTTCTACTTTTTATTCAATCTTTTTAAAAAAGTAATGTACCTAAACGAACCTTTAAGTCCGAGCTCTTAACACTGGATGAATCTGCTTTTGTTCACCAGAAGATGGCGCAGTGGAACCAGCTTCAGATGCTGGACTGCAAGTACCTGGAGCAGGTGGAGCAGCTTTACGATGACTCGTTCCCCATGGACATCAGGCAATACCTGAGCAAGTAGATCGACAGCATCGACTGGTGAGAGGGGTTTTTTTGTAAAGTAGAACAAAAGTTTTTACTTTTCAAGAATAGAGATCAGAGCCTCATTTGTCTTGTGCTCCGTGCCTCTTCAGGGACACAGTGGCGATGCAGGATTCCTTAGCCACAGTTCAGTTCCACGACCTCCTGGCTCAGCTCGACGACCAACATAGCCGCTTCGCCCTGGAAAACAACTTCCTGCTACAACACAACATCCGCGAGATTAAGAGGAACCTACAGGTCAGAACATTTATAATGCCCCCTGTCATGTAATGATCACATTTTGACAGAACTTATCCATCTCTCGACTGGGCGTTACCAGACACGTTCCTCAAGACGTTTACTGTTCAATGTTCCTCGAGTCAGATCGGAACTGGGAAAATCTGCTTTTTCTTATTCTGCACCGGACTCATAAGCAACATCATCTTCTTGAGGGGAATGAACCTACCTTTTGGGCATTTTAGAAACCTGATTTTAAGCCTCCCAACCTCTGTTTGTAACTGTTTTACATAAGTGTGTTTTTTTATTGCAGTTTTGTACTCGCTTAATTATCTTAGTACATTTTAGCCTTTTGTAGACTGATTTTAGCAGTCTTGTATTATCTGTCCCCTGTTTTTATTTTTGATTTAATGTCTGTTTTAAATTATTTCTGCAATTACTCGATGTCATTGTAAATGAGGGTTGCCCCTCAATGATCTTTCGAGTAGAAAGATAAAGATAAAGATAAAGATAAACTTTATTGATCCCCGTGGGGGAAATTTGTGCATTACAGCAGCTCCAGAAAACAGGGGACGGGAATATAATTATAAAAAATAAAAATAGAAGTTAAAAACAGAGCAAACATATTTACATCATAATGTAAAAAAATACAATAATGTAAAATTACACAGTAAAATAAAGGCTCAACAATAACAATAACATTCAACCTTTATGAATATCAGTGAGTAAAATATTCAAAGCACATTAGTAAATGTTAACTGGATGCCGACCCTCCTGTCGGATTACCTGAGCTATGAGCTCTGGAGTCGCCACATTAACGATGTCAAACGGACCGAACCTGGAGCGCCAGATGGGCCCGAACAATCTCTCCTGTACATCCTAGAAACACCAAGTCAGTGTGTAGAATGAAAAGTGTAAACTTTAGTAGAAGTAATAACATCTCTACAATGTGTAAATGAATGAATTTACCAGAAACATGTGCAGGGAAGAGAAATACTTTGCACTTTTAAAAACACAGTTATTCTACCTGCCAAGTCTCCTGATATAAAACACATCAGGAAAAATAATTTAGAATTTTTTTTAACCCTTAAACTAATTGAATCAATATTGCACTACATTAAAATCTATATTATTTCTAGTATAGCAGAGTGTGTCTGCTTCATCTATCAATGTGACACACTTTAGATTAGACGACAGACTTTCATACATAAATCCCCTGCAGTGAGCTTCTGGTACTGGACAAAATCCTGTTATAGATACGTGTGTGTGTGTGTGTGTGTGTGTGTGTGTGTGTGTGTGTGTGTGTGTGTGTGTGTGTGTGTGTGTGTGTGTGTGTGTCGGTAGTAAAAGAAAGAAAATAAAAACTATTTTGATTATAATTTAAAGTGTTTGAAGCTTTTATTTTAAATGTGTTTTTACTAAGTGTAAATCTGCCTTATTCTCCATCTTTACACTGCTTGTTGTGTCTATACTGCCCCCAATGGACAAAATGTGGAACTACATTTGTGTTTTAAAAAACATTTTATTTTTTCCCACTCTTGAGAGCGTAGTTAGCTCATATATGTATTGAAAAATGAAGCATTAGCTATTCTGTCGACAATCGAAGGTATTTATTTTATTTAAACTAAAATGGTCTTATTTTTAGACTACAAATCGTTGGTACACTGTCCCCATCGACCCCGACCGGAAGTGGGGAAATATTGGATGTTAAATGAAACAGCATAGTTTGGCTGCCATCTAGTGGACATGATTAGTAACTACAGTCAAACTGTAGAGTTTATGAGTTTGTTTATGATTATTTCCTGATGTTTGTTGCTGTTTTTGTTGTTGTAGGCCAACAATGTCCCTGCCTGTTGTTGTCATCTCTAACGTCTGTCAGCTGCCCAGCGGCTGGGCCTCCATCCTCTGGTACAACATGCTGACCTCCGAGCCCAGGGTACACAACCAGGACTCTCATTGATGATTACAGATGTTTACTCATCACAAATATCAAACATACAATTAGGTGATATCTTAATGATTTAAACAAGTTTCACAGCTGCCACCTTAAATTCATAAACAGACCATTAATACAGTCTGAATGTTGACGCGTGTATAGCTGTTTTACGGCTGGTCTTTTCAGTATATTTTGATGCCTGTGCTTTTTATATTAAGTAAGGTTTTGAATAAAGGTCTTCTATTCGTAACAGAGTGTCTTTAACTGAAGTTTTGCTAAAAGATCAGAGTTCTATAAACCAAATGGTTTGACTTTTTGTGTTTCCATCTCTTCTTCTTTCCTCTCCTCTCCCTCAGAATCTGAAGTTCTTCCTCAGCGCTCCGCAGGCCAAGTGGTCTCAGCTGTCCGAGGTCCTCAGCTGGCAGTTCTCCTCCGTCACCAAGCGAGGCCTGAACCAGGAGCAGCTCAACATGCTGGCTGACAAACTGCTCGGTAGAAATAGTTTTCTTTAACAGATAAACACCTGCAGGACTTTCAAACAGGCCTTTAACTTTTATTTATTTTTATCTTCAGGAGCCAAAGCCAAGAGGAACCCAGAGGGACAAATCCCCTGGACCAAGTTCTGCAAGGTGAGCCCCATTCAGCCTGAGATTTAAGATTGTCAACATCTGTGATACTTTTCGATACCACAAGTTAAAAATGAATAAAATCTGTATTCAAATCTGTAATTTAACCAAAAGCTGCAATAAGAGAAACGTGTACAGGTTAGCAGATACTAATGGAGTCTTTTTGGTGCATCATAAAGTTAAAACTACATCTTCTCTTTGAACTGAATGTATTTGTCTGTAAGCAGAGTGCGAACGAGAAAGCGTATTCCTTCTGGTTGTGGATCGAAGAAATCCTGGATGTGATTAAAAGACACCTGCTTTCCCTTTGGAATGACGGGTGAGTGCTGCCGTCTTTCTTCAGTGTGAAGACACTTTTCTGAGATGTCAGGAGTTTTTCAGGAGTTTTCTGCAAGTGTGAAACCCCTTTAGTCTGTCTTTTAAAGGGGTCTGTCTAAGACAGACTAAGACAGAATAACCTGTCCTCTGATTGTAAGCAACACTCTCTTTTCTTTTTTTTTCTTCTGAAGAAAGCAAATCAATTCTTTTCTTCTTTCTGAGTGCAGACTTGGAGTGAGACCAAAACTGTCAACTGAGAAGTTTCTTCATTTCATCCAAGTCTTCTTTCTGTTCTCTCTTTCAGTGTCTTTGTTTCGTCAGTGGTTGAACTCTGATGATCATTTTATCTGCTCTTAGAGGTGTGGTAAAAACCCTCACTACTTTTAAGTTAGATACAGGTCAGTGCAGTAACCAGTCACCTTCTAGACACATTTGAGTGATTACATTCACTCTACTTGGAAGTCAAAGAATTTATATTTTTGCCCGATAATTACGAGGCAAAAAAGGCTTAAAAAGACATGGATTCAAAACAAAAACCCTTATCTGCCAGCTGTGTTTTATTTAGTTATAGTAGTTTACAGCTTTCATTGTCTGTTTTCTTTGATTTTGAGGAAACTTGTTTATTGTAGTCTTTAATTATCTACCACTAATAAGAAAATAAGAAAAATATATTGCCTAATATGTCATGGGAACACAATCTCCAACGTACACAAGAATATGCAATCAATGAAGTTACACTTCAGATTCTTTGAGAGACTAACATGCATGTGTGATTAACAGACAATGGATTTTAATTAACATAAGCAGTAAACAGTTGCTTTTTATAATTAAAAAAATATGTTATCTGTGATTAAGTCAAGTCACATTTATTTATAAAGAAATAAAACAAAGAAAGCAGTTTGAATTTGTATCTAGAACAAGAAAGGTGAAAAAAATCCAAATGCAGTAATTCACAGAGTGACCACAGGAGGGCGCAGTTTCACCTTTAAACTCCATCTTTACACATTAGTATCTCAAACTAAGTTCGGAGCTTCAGTACAAAGTTTTCACTCATCCCGTGTCTTCATTTATCTGCTTCTTAGACACTTTGGAGAACGACAGGGAGAGGAAGAGAGAAACTGGAGGTAAACATCATTCAGCAGTGAATTTATCTGTGAGTAACAATTCAGTCAGTGTCCTAAAGACCGGAAAACAGGTTAGCTTCGTCCCCTGCTAACGAATGCAGTTAGTTACCATGGTGACCCGAGTTTGACTTTCTCATGTTGCTTGGTTACCAAGAGTTCAAAGTTTAAAAAAAACATAAAAACAAGTAAATTACATTAATAAATATTTGTTATCAATAAAACATTTGATTTTTGACTTCGTCTTGTTTATGTGTCCTCTTATTTATAACTTTTTCATTTCTTCCATAGAAACTTTCTGCGACACTTCCGGTTGGAGCTTCCGGTAATCACGCCCAGGTGTGTTCAGGTGTTCTCAGGTGTGTATGTCATTGTTTCGAGCAGGTAAGCGGTGCGGACCGCGGGCAGCCTGGCTGTGGATCAAAGCGGTGGAAGAAGAAGGAGCCGGGGAAGGAGAGATGAAGTCTAGATACTCAGTGAGTCTTTAAAAGTTCAGTTTTGTGTGAAAAGCCACAAAATAGAAACACGTGGGGCTGTATGCTAATGCTAACACGTGGGGCTGTATGCTAATGCTAACACGTGGGCTAATGCTCATGCTAAATGTTTGTTAAGAGGAAACATCGTCAAAGTAAGATGATGATAACATTTATCAACATCATGAAGGTCATGTTTGAACTTGTTTTCTCCTGTTAAACTAATTGTTTAAACACCGGGTAAAAGTAAACTTTAAAAACAAAACTTATAATTTAAACTAATATCAGATTGAAGAGTTTAAATAAAACAATAACCTCAATTTAAGTTTATTGACTAATATGTAAATTAGTTAATCCGAGGTAAAATGATTTTCTAAACATTATTGTTCACAGAGCCCAGAGATTAAATGTTCATCTTGATAAAGTAATATGAATAAACTTCTTTATTTAATTTAAAAGTAAAAGCTTTTAATCCAGTTTTCTGTGTTTGATTCAAACTCAAAGAAACAAAAGTCTGATTAATTTATTTTAACTTTAATTAGAGTCTTTGTTCTTGTGACAGTTAATGTATGGTAAAGATGTTTCTTAAGACCTTATACTTAATGTTTCTATATTATATTCTACATTTAAATTTAAGTTTGCTTCAGTCTCATCCAAAAGCCTTAAAGTGAAGTTAAACACAGATAATTTACAGTGAATGATTAAACCCAGGTTTATTCCAGTCATCACAATGTTGTATAATCAAACATTTTCTGAGTTTTATTAACTTGATGAACTAAAATGTGTTTTTCTTCTCCAACAGGAACTCTGTCGACGTCTTCCTGCTCAGGTAGGAGACTCAAAGCTTTCTTAATGTTGTTTTATTATGTTCCAGGTTTTAGGTCTTATAGATGTTTAGACTCAGTTATTTTAATCATTTCATCCTTTTTGGAGTGGAGGATCATCAGGTGTTTAATGAAATACTTCATTTTTATAATCCTTACTTCATTAAACACCTGATGTTCCTCCACTCCAAAAAGGATCAAATAACTGAGTCTAAACATTTATACGACCTAAACCTGGAACATAATAGAACATTAAGAAAGCTTTGAGCTCCTACCCAATGGGGACGCCTGTGACGCCTTATTGTTTTGTGCTTATGTAACATGTACAAAAAACAGAGGTCATGGCTGTTCAATATTTTATTGTAATAAAACTACTGCTGTGTCCACTCTGCATCAGTGACTTCTGTAATTATGTTCTGGTTATCTGCCAGGTGTGTTTTATTTATAGTAGCTTACAGCTTTCATTGTTCTGAGGAAACTTGTCTGGTTATCTACCCAGTAAGCATGTTTCCTAATGGAAATTTATCAATATTATAAAAAAAATCCAAACTTCAAATGAAGACATGTCACAGCTTTGTGACAAAGAAGGAAACAACTACAACAAAACATCTATTAGGAATTGAAGATGCTGACAACACAAACATGAAACAAATTAAGACTTTAAAATTATTAAATTGTGTTATCAGTGTTTTAAGAGAAAACTGCAAATGAAAATTAAAGAAAACAGACTTTAAACTAAATCTATAGCTGAAAGATAAAAACAACAAACTATGACTGAAAGGAAACTAAAACAGCTATCAAGTAAACTTTAATCTGAAGAAAATCCTTCCAGCTGCAGCACAGATCCTACTCTTCACAGTTCAGAGCGAGGAAACACCTGGAATACAAGAAACAAAGACATCAGGGTTTAAAGTTCATTTCAGGTTGCATCTATGGGTAATTTACAGCTAGGATTGTAAAATGAGCCATTCTGATACATTACTAATTTTCAATCATTTAATTAAGTCAAAAGAATCTCTACATCTATAAAGAGAGTGTTAAGATTAAAATTGAAACATTTGTAGCATCATGTACATTTTGCCCTACGAATAAAATCAAGAATACAACTATATGTGACTGAAACTGTTAAAATAAACACAAGAGCCAAGAAAAATACTCACCAAATGTTGAAGGAAGCAGGTGAGGCAGCGTGGTGTAGCATACATGTTAACAGCTCTTCGTCTTGTTTTGGTCAGGCTGCCCCTAAAAGTTACAACAACAAAAAAACACATCACAATTAGTTTAAACTTAAAAATGTTAGTTATTGTAAAGTGTTTGGAGACAAGTGAATAAAAATGGACTGATTCATGAAAGTTAACATTAAGTTTGTTCATCATGTCACATTGGGCCTGTTTTTTTGGGAGAGAGAGAGAGAGAGAGAGAGGTGTTACATCTGTGATCAGGTTCAGCTGTAGTGCATTAGTCCTTAATGTCGTTGGTTATCTGCCAGCTGTGTTTTATTTAGTTATAGTAGTTTACATGTTTATTGTTAGCCGATAAATCTGTCACCCAAAAGGAGAAGTCAATCAAATCCTTTTGAGGACCAAGACCTTGAAGCTCATCATACAGAGCACTGATAATAACTTTAATTATCTGTGGTTTTTAACATCCTCTCTCTCTAGAGCTGCTGGTTGAGTGTGTGAAGAACAAGGACTTAAAGAAGGTGAGTGACAGTTTCATCTCTCACTACAGACCTTTGTACCTCATTTCTACATACTCACATGTGTCTTTGAATTGAATCACCATCATCTGCAGGAGCCGCACCTGGAGGGAGCCCCACCTGGAGGGAGCCGCACCTGGAGGGAGCCGACCTGACGTCACTCGACTCGTCCGGCTGCAGGTTACGTCATCACGCTGCCAGTGCAGTAAGCCAAGAGATGGTCCTCTACATCCTCCACAGGTGTGTGTACAGTCCTCCACGTGTTTGGTGCTCGTAGGTTGACAGTCAGACAAACTCCTCTTTTCATTTCTTCACCAGATTGAATAAGGAGTGAAAACTACAAGACACAAGAACATTTAGTTTAGTCATAACCAAAGTTCTACAATAAACAATAAACTAATACAGGACAAAAGAAAGCTTAGTTGTTAACTTCAGTCCAGTGAAGAAACTTACATTTCTGTTGCTGCCTGCTGTGTGCAGCCTTGAAGATGAAAGAAGGAACCCTTAACTTCCTGCTTCCTTTATAGGCAGGGCTTGATGAGTCACTTCCTGTAGCAGTCTCTGACAGGCCAACAGGGGGTGCCATTGCACCATGTGTAGCTCATTTAAAGAATCTTAGTTGTTGTTTTTTTTTACCATAAATGAATGTATGTGGGTTCTTTTCAAAATAGGAATATGATGTTTTTTTCTTTCTGTATTTTAGTGTTTGAATAAATGGGAAACTTTCAATGACAGGCTTGTAAAACAAAAAGTCAGTTCAATCAATCTTTATTTTGTAGAGCGCCAACTCAATACAAATGTTATCTCAAGACACAAAAAGCAGGTAAGAGAGAGTCTTGTCTGGGTTAAAGGCAGGGTTGGTCATTTTCTAAAAATAGCATTCCCTCAGTGCTCCGTCTGCACCCACCCCAGAAGCAGACTTCAGCTCATTGCTGGCATTGTCAGGATCAAAAGACAATTTCAACCACAATCTTAAAAAGTGGATCTGGAGAAAATTACCAACCCGGCCTTTTAAGTAGTTTTTAGTCGTTCCAGAAAAACTGCAGTAAGTACAGATTATATTTGTGCTTGAAAACATCTAACATTGAACTGAAACCATGAGGTTTTTAAAATGCTAAACACTTTATTTAAATGTTAACAGAGTGTAGATGATGATGCTTTCAAACTGCCTGTGTCTGTATCTGTGCTCTGATCTCTGTTCAGTCTTTATGTGATGATATATGTGCCATCATAAACACAAGACACCAAAAGAAGCAGCAGGGGGGCCACTGTTGATGTCTGTTCTCTCTGTTGACCAGGGGGGAGACGGTCCTTCACCGAGCTGCGTCCCTGTCTCAAAGAACTATCTGTCATTATCTGGTCCAAGCAGGAGCCTCGCTCATCAAGACAGACCTACAGGTACAGTTCAGCTGTAAGGTAAAAGGTAATTAAAACAACAGCTCAAAGGTAAATAAAACTAAACAACAGCTAAAAGGTAAATAAAACAACATCTACAAGGTAAATAAAACAACAGCTAAAAGGTAAATAAAACTAAACAACAGCTAAAAGGTAAATAAAACAACATCTAAAAGGTAAATAAAACTAAACAACAGCTAAAAGGTAAATAAAACAACATCTAAAAGGTAAATAAAACAACAGCTAAAAGGTAAATAAAACTAAACAACAGCTAAAAGGTAAATAAAACAACATCTAAAAGGTAAATAAAACAACAGCTAAAAGGTAAATAAAACTAAACAACAGCTAAAAGGTAAATAAAACAACAGCTAAAAGGTTAATAAAACTAAACAACAGCTAAAAGGTAAATAAAACAACAGCTAAAAGGTAAATAAAACTAAACAACAGCTAAAAGGTAAATAAAACAACAGCTAACAAGTCAACCAAAAAAGCTAACAGGTAAACTAAGACAACAATCTCTTCATCCAGCCTTCTGTATTTGATTTACTCAAAGAAACAGCAGTCTGATTCATTTCTTATTTAAGTGCAGTAACCAACAACTAACCACCAGAGGGCGCCCTCTCTATATAAAGTGATTTATAAACGATATAATGCATTTATTTTAAACCTTTAACTTTAATTAGAGTCTTACATCATTGTTTGCTAAATTATTTATATTAAAGCTGCATTTTTACCTTAGACCTTTTCCTAGTAGCTTTCATTTTACTTTTCAAACTTTTAACCAATTTAATTAGTTTATTTTCCTTTGGTTTTGTTAATGAAAATACCACAAACCTTTTTATTGATTTAATTGAAATGATTAATTTGTTTGAATTTATTTTTATTTTTATTTTTATTTATTTTTTCTTACAGCTCATTGAGCTAGTTTAGATTAAACATAAATTAAAAGGAAACATTTACAAGTTAAAAAGGACTATCACAGACTTTTAGTTTAGGAGCATCTATGGCTCATTTACAGCGAGGATTGAACAATATGTGAAAAGTAAATGGGCCATTCTGATACATTACTCATTTTAAATTAACTAACTGTTTTTTTCATCTGAAAATACTTCTTACCTTTGTGAAAGAAAAGTCAAATAATATTGTTGCCACGAGCGGAGCAAATACGAGGAGGAGCAACCTGTACAAACAGCTGGATGACAAGAATAGACTAAAGTCAAAGACAAGACACAACATTAGAAGCACAGTTTGAAGACAACCTGCTTAAAGATTCTAAATACAAATACTTTCATTTTCTCAATTCTTATTACTTGATGTCCTTTTCTTGTAATAATTCACAGGATGATGAGATCAACCAACAGAGTCTGCTGGCTGACAAACTCAAGGAGCAGAAGATGGACCAAGAAGAGGTTTGTCTCTCAGCCTATGAAATACAAAGGAAATATCAAGTATTTTCATTTAAACATGGATTTCATAAGGATGATCATTTTTGCATGAACTCACTCTGACCCCACGTTCTGCAGAAACATACAGGGGGAGCGGCTCAGCGGTGGAGGAGGAGTTCACCGTAGCTCGGCTCTACATCAGCAAGATGAAGTCTGAGGTCAAGTCTCTGGTGAACCGCAGCAAACAGCTGGAGAGCACGCAGGCCGACGCCCACACAAACATTCAGGCCAATGACAAGGAGACATGATGGAGACGAGGACATCAAGGTGAGGACACAAATCCACAAAACTCTGGAGGCACCACAAGCAGCTCAGCCGCCTCAGACACCAGATCCAAGACCAGCAGAGGATGATGGACGAGCTCATTCATTTACAATCATAAACTACTTCAATTAGAAGTGCCAGATTTTATCAAGCAGACATCAACATTAACTCTGGCCACATTATACATTTTATTTTCCTCCTTTTTGTTTGAACCAGGGCCTGTTACTGGAGCAGACTCATGACAGACAGCTGGAGAAAGATGCAACACTACAGAAGCTCATGTATGTACCAGCTAACACATCACATCTCCATTATTCATGAGTCTGTGTGTCCTCAATTCATCCACATTTTGTGTCCAGACTGCTGAATGATCAGAGGATCTGAAGGGCCTCCAGGACACGGTGTGAGTATTTCATCCCCCCATTTAAAGTGTCATGTCATTTAAAAACCCAACAGCTTTTGGTCCTCCTTGTCTGAACTCAGCTGAGGGTAGTGTTGTAGTCAAGAGCACACTAAGACCACACAGAGTCACAAATATGTGTGTGTGCAGGGGACGTTTTACTCACTTGGAGCGTAACACCAGGAAGGTTGTGGTCGTAACCGGGGACTGAAGTTATTTGATGTTTTTTCCTTCTAGTCCCAGACCGAGACCTTCAAAATGTGGACTCTGATTGGCCTGTTTTTGTTAACGATGCTGAGGTTACCAAAGCAACAGATCACAAAAGTTCAAACGGACTCAGGAGAAGATCGAGAAACATCCAACGCAAGCAGACGAAATCATTTGAATGATCACCTGTCTGTCCATGTAGCTTTGTTTCTTTTCATCTGAACTCCTCGGTCTTCTTATATCTGTGAATCTGTAGCTCTGGATTTATCAACAGGAAGTGCTCTGGATTTATCAACAGGAAGTGCTCTGGTTATTAACAGGAAGTGCTCTGGATTTATCAACAGGAAGTGCTCTGGTTATTAACAGGAAGTGCTCTGGATTTATCAACAGGAAGTGCTCTGGTTATTAACAGGAAGTGCTCTGGATTTATCAACAGGAAGTTATAAAGGAAACAGGAAGTTGAGGATTCTTTCTTTAATCTGCACACAGCAGGCAGCAACAGAAATTATGAGTTCCTGTACTGAAGTTAAAGTTTAACATTAGCATGTAGCTTAACATTAGCATGTAGCTTAACATTAGCCTTGTTATAATTTGTGACGTATTGCATCTGATGTATCATACCACGTGGCTTAGCATTAGCATGTAGCTTAGCATTAGCATGTAGCTTAACATTAGCATGTAGCTTAACATTAGCCTTGTTATAATTTGTGACGTATTGCATCTGATGTAGCATACCACGTGGCTTAGCATTAGCATGTAGCTTAGCATTAGCATGTAGCCGCCGTATCTGTCTTCTCTGCAGCCTTCAGTATTGTGAGTTTGGTGAGTCAGAGCGACACACACACACACACGATGAGTCATGACATGTCAAAGAAGACGATTGAAACAACTTGAACAACTTAAAAAAACAGTTTTTATTTCAAGTCAGACATTTTTAACCTTCTCTACAGATAGATGAACCAGACCTTTTCATTTCTACTCACATGAGTCATGCTGTGCTCCTCCATGAGGAACCTCTTTGTGTTTGTTAGTCTAAACTAAATGTAAACTTTGTTAGTCTAAACTAAATGTAAACTTTGTCTTTGTTAGTCTAAACTAAATGTAAACTTTGTCTTTGTTGGTGTAAACTAAATGTAAACTTTGTTGGTGTAAACTAAATGTAAACTTTGTCTTTGTTAGTTCAAACTAAATGTAAACTTTGTCTTTGTTAGTTCAAACTAAATGTAAACTTTGTCTTTGTTAGTTCAAACTAAATGTAAACTTTGTTGGTCTAAACTAAAATGTAAAGTTTGTGTTTGTTAGTCTAAACTAAATGTAAACTTTGTTGGTCTAAACTAAAATGTAACGTTTGTGTTTGTTAGTCTAAACTAAATGTAAACTTTGTTGGTCTAAACTAAATGTAAACTTTGTTGGTCTAAACTAAATGTAAACTTTGTCTGTGTTAGTCTAAACTAAATGTAAACTTTGTCTTTGTTAGTCTAAACTAAATGTAAACTTTGTTGGTCTAAACTAAATGTAAACTTTGTTGGTCTAAACTAAATGTAAACTTTGTCTTTGTTGGTCTAAACTAAATGTAAACTTTGTTGGTCTAAACTAAATGTAAACTTTGTTGGTCTAAACTAAATGTAAACTTTGTTGGTCTAAACTAAATGTAAACTTTGTCTTTGTTGGTCTAAACTAAATGTAAACTTTGTTGGTCTAAACTAAATGTAAACTTTGTGTTTGTTGGGCTAAACTAAATGTAAACTTTGTTAGTCTAAACTAAATGTAAACTTTGTGTTTGTTAGTCTAAACTAAATGTAAACTTTGTGTTTGTTGGTCTAAACTAAATGTAAACTTTGTGTTTGAATTGCAGGAGCTGCACCTGAAGGGAGCAAAGAGATGATCTCCTCTTTTCATTTCTTCACCAGATTGAAGGAGTGAAAACTACAAGACACAAGAAGTTTAGTCATTACCAAAGTTCTGTATAAATTCAAACAATAAACTAATACAAGTTGTTGCTAATGCTAAGCTACATGCTAATGCTAAACCTTAACTTCAGTACAGGAACTTACATTTCTGTTGCTGCTTGCTGTGTGCAGATTAGAGAAAGAACCCTGAACTTCCTGTTTCCTTTATAACTTCCTGTTCCCTGAATGATCCATGTAAACAGTTCTCTAGTGACTTCACTGATGCTCCATATTTTACTTGAGCTCCTTTTAACTTTGAACCATATTATCCTGATATATGATTGACCATGTGTATATATAATAAATCAAATCTTATGTCATGGTGGGAACAATGGACCATTGATGAATTTAGGTTAGTACACTATATTTAGTTCATTAAGTCATCCAACACTTTTAAAAATAAAGGGTGTGACAAAACTTCAGACACTCTTGATTTTCATCACCCTGTACTTGTGTTACTCATGAAACACCAGGGGGAACTGCAGTTCCAGGTACGATACCATAGAAGCTGGACTTGAACCAGCGCGCATGTATTGCAGATGCCAGGACAACTCCACTTGGCCACTGGTCCCTTCCACTTGAGATTTGTTCCGGGCGTATTTATCATCGTCATTTCAGATTTTCACTTAAAATTTGCCTTATAAGATTCCAATCCTCCATCACCAGACACGTGGGATTTGAACCTAGGCTCGCCACCTACGGAGTTTGGAAACCGCAATCTTATCCACTACGCTACCAATACCTTCACACTATAAGATGTGTTCCGGGCGTATTTATCTTCATCATTTCAGATGTTAGACTTTAAAAGTCACTGAGTCATGGTGAGACTTGAACCCACAACCTCCAGACTCCAAGTCCTCCTTCTATCTGTTGAGCCACAGAGACAGATGCTTGACTATGTTTCTCAGATCTCTTGAGTCTTTCCTTTGGACCAATACCTTTAAGATAATGGTGTGTGTCCTGTGGATCGATACTGGCAGGTGCTTCACTGTGTTTCTCCTCTTGAGTCTTTCATTCAGGACCGACACCTTTAAAATTCACTGAGTCCTGATCAGATTTGAACCCACGACCTCCAGACTCCAAGTCCTCCATCTATCTCCTGAGCCACAGAGACAGATGCAGACAGATGTTTCCTGCTGGATCTGTGTGTTGTTTTGTTCAAGTCTTAAGATTTATTTTTTAATATATGTTAAACAAATGATTTATATTTCTATATATCTGATCCAGACAAGAATAAACAGCAGAATAAACCTACAACGAGGTATAACTTGTAAGCATCGTGCATTCATGGAATGTGCAACACAGCTAAACGTGTGAGTAGCACTCTAAAGAAATGTGCCAAAATGGACACAGCAGTAGTTTTATTACAATAAAATATTGAACAGACATGATGACCTCTGTGTTTTGTACACGTTATGTCAGCACAATACAATAAGGTGTGACAGGTGAGGGGGTTACATCCAGCCAGTCCCCTTCCCCCCCACTATCCTCCAGCCCCCATTGGGCAGGAGCTCAAAGCTTTCTTAATGTTGTTTTATTATGTTCCAGGTTTTAGGTGGAGTTATGAGTTTTGTATGTTGAGCAGATTTAAGGAGTTATGACCTCCTTTAGACATGGACATACAGCGCTGGTATTACTTCCTGATCTAGGTAGCATCAGTGTCCGTCAAAGGAGAAGTGATTCAAATCATTTTCAGGGAAAATAGTTAACTTTAACATTCAGGACACTGATGCTACCTTCAGGATAACGTTAGATCAGGAAGTAATACCAGCACTGGATGTCCATGTCTAAAGGAGGTCATAACTCCTTAAATCAGCTTTAACATAACATAACATAACATAATGCTATGTAGCTGTCGACTAACGATACCTAATAGATTAAAAAATAATAATGTAGTTTTACATTAAACACCTGATGTTCCTCAACTCTAAATAGACTTCTAGCTGATCAAAAAGGATGAAGTCAAATGATTAAAATAACTGAGTCTAAACATCTATAAGACCTAAAACCTGGAACATAATAAAACAACATTAAGAAAGCTTTGAGTCTCCTACCTGAGCAGGAAGACGGCCACCGACGGGGGATCATCCTGGAAGACGTCGACAGAGTTCCTGTTGGAGAAGAAAAACACATTTTAGTTCATCAAGTTAATAAAACTCAAAATGTTTGATTATACAACATTGTGATGACTGGAATAAACCTGAGTTTAATCATTCACTGTAAATTATCTGTGTTTAACTTCACTTTAAGGCTTTTGGATGAGACTGAAGCAAACTTAAATTCAAAGTTTAAATGTAGAATATAATATAGAAACATTAAGTATAAGGTCTTAAGAAACATCTTAACAGATTTATATTATAAGTTCTACAAGTTTGTTTAACTTTCACCTGATCGAGCTTTGGGGGGAAAGAAAATGCTCTATACATTTATATATATAATATATATTCAGAGTTGTAATTGATCTGTGATATTATCAATGAACTTAATATAATGGAGCACATAAGGTAGGTGAAGAAGAGTTATGAGCATATGAAAGTTAATAAAATCAAGGCAAGGAAGAAGAATTTTTAAACAACCTTTTTAACTTGTAAATGTTTCATTTTAATTTAAGTGTCTAATCTGAACTCTCATTGAGCTGTAAGATGTACTCTTATATCAAAATATTTGAATCCTAATCAAATAAGATTTAATCAAATTGATCATTTCAATTTAATCAATAAAAAGGTTTTGTGGTATTTTCATTAAGAAAAACTAAAAACTAATTTAATTAACTAAAAGGTAAAAAATCAGCTTTAATATAAATAATTTACCATACAATGATGTAATCTTAAATATCAAATTACTTTATTGACTTACAAAATTATCTGTCACAAGAACAAAAACTCTAATTAAAGTTAAAGGTTTAAAATAAATGCATTATATCGTTTATAAATCACTTTATATAGAGAGGGCGCCCTCTGGTGGTTAGTTGTTGGTTACTGCACTTAAATAATAAATGAATCAGACTGCTGTTTCTTTGAGTAAATTAAACACAGAAGGCTGGATGAAGAGCTTTTACTTTTTAAATGAAATAAATGAAGTTTATTCATATTACTTTATCAAGATGAACATTTAATCTCTGAGCTCTGTGAACAGTAATGTTTAGAAAATCATTTTACCTCGGAGCTACAGCACAGAGCGAGGAAACACCTGCACACACCTGTACAAAGAAACAAGAAGAAAACCCTGAATGTTGAGTTCAAACAACAACTGTCTCTTCACTTTTGTTTGAATCTCTCAGACACACGATGTTGTTGTGGTTCAGTTAGCATTAGCATTAGCATACAAACACGTGTTTTCTTCTTCGTCTTCAATTCTTCTTTTCGCAGCATTTTCATCCAAACTCGGACAGCCGTCATCCGCTCGAGTGGTCCGGGGTCGATATTAAGACCCTTTTTCAAACCGACCCCTACACCAGGGCTCTCCAACAGGTAGCTCTTCATCAAGGTGTAGGTCGAAATACAGCGGCAGGCTTTGGGACAAACTTCCCTCTCTCAGGTGGAAACAGGAACTGTGTGTTACCGTGGTTACTCTGCGGAATCTTACAGGAACTGTGTGTTACCATGGTTACTCAGCGGTATCAGGAACTGTGTGTTACCATGGTTACTCAGCGGCATCTTGCGGGAACGGCTTTATTTTTTTATAGCTAATGCATTCTGTAAAAATCTTTATGTAGCCTAGATTATTCTTCCTCTTTATTTATATTAGTGTAGACTTATAACAAAACTATTAGATTGAGTCTACATTGTTTATTGTAATTTATAATTTAAGTTAATTTATTGTAATTTGTTTTATCAGGGTGTCCTAAATTAATGCAAAGACAAGGAGACTATTGTTGAACATCAGAGCAGCACAAAGTGTATTTTTTTGTTGTTGAATTGAGATTTCACAAAGACATCAAAAGTAGAAAAATAAAGAATAAATATTAACAGCGTAAAGTTGTCTGCAACATGATTTAATATTCTTTTGTTTTTGCGACAGTCCCTGTAAATATAAAACACTTTACAATAAATAAACATGTATTTGATCCTCAATAAAATACACATTGTTGTTGTTTACGTCTATATGAGGATATTAAATGTCTGTCTTAGTTGGAGCAGTGTTTGAACTCACAGGTTGCTGTCTCCATGACGACGAGACACAATAGGCGTTGCACGCGATCCGAAAGTCGGCTTTTTAATAATAAGTCTTTCCACAAGTGGAAGTGCACACACCTGGTATTATTCTATTATTCTATTATTTCTGCCTTTATTTAACTGATGTACATATGTTTTATTTTTATTTTTATTCTTAATAATTTTATTCCTGTTTCCTGTTTTCTTGAGCTGCTGTAATGCAAACATTTCCCCTGTGGGGGATCAATAAAGTTTATCTTTATCTTTAAGAGGATACATTTCTGTTATAGTGACTGTTGGATGTAATTGTAACCCAGTGCCAGCAGAGGGCAGCAGTGTGATATGAATGCATGATGCAGCGGTTAATTAGACCTGACCTGTTAACCTCCAGGTGAGCTGTGTTGTAATATTTACAGTGTATGGTTGTAAAGTGTAGAAGTTACATTACAGCCAGCCTGATTGAAGATGGAATATCTGCCTCTTATTTAACCTCTACGCCACCATCACATCTGCCTGTCTGTTTGCAGTACATTAGGCCAGTTTAAAATCATCTCCAAGGGGAGTAAATCTAGAATCTAGTGAGACATTGTGTAATTAAGCTCTTTTCTGTGACAACAGGCTCAGACTGTGGTTAACTTTTTTACATCACAGCAACACAGATATATATATTTACACACTTTATTTCAAGAGAAGTATGGAGTTACCCTTTAAAATCCCAAAACAAACAGTAGATCCAAAACTATTGTTCAGGGATGTGTGAGCATGACGTGCAGCCACATCACCAACAGCAGCCACACATTTCATCAATATGGAGTTAATAATGCGACCATGGAAGCAAAGATCAGGCATCACGTCACATTCACAGTCTGGAGAAAAAGTTCAAATGGAGATGTCCAGACAGGGAGAGCTCAGTCTCCATCTTCAAATGATCTTCACATCAATTATCAAACTGTTAGTCCTGAAATTGCCGGAATCCTTCACAGTATTTTGTAAAGGGTTACAGAGGTACGTCACAGCTCGTGGACAGATGTGGAATAAAGTGGGTGCAGCTCTGAATGACAGTTCTCAGTCGTGGTCCTTTTGTCAGGCATCAACAATAAAGAAGAGATAACAAATGATTTCAAATGCTGCCGCCCCTGCAGCATTAAAAAAAACAATTACATAAGGGGAGTACGTTTTGTAACAAAGCGCTAAAACCTAACATGACAATCTATAACATAAACCACCATGTTCATACAACACTTTTTTATTTACTTCACTTTTATTTCAACGTTGCCTTGTTCATTTCAGTCGTGTGTAAATACAT